GTCATGAATTTTAATCAATTATCAGGTGTACGTGAAAATAGTCGAATCAACTAACAGCTCATTATGATTATTTAACTGTTAAAAATAATCATTCTAATAATTCTTATGGTTAGTGTTAAATAATCGTATAGCTCTTTATGGTTAGCGTGTTACCTAACAGCTCTTTACTGTTGTGTTATTCTAACAAGTTTCTAGGATAAGCATTTAGTGGTTGTAGAGGTTTAATACTGAATAATAACTTACAATTTATAATATAAGAATTGAAAAGTACATGTATATAATAGAGATTAGATTAATGACGGAGATTGCCATTCTTATAACTTTATGAATTATTAAAAATTACTGATTAAATTGTCATTCATATTATAAATTATATTGAAAGTTACGGTGCTTACTTTTATTTAAACTCAAAGGCTCCATCCCTATGAAACGTCGCCGTTTTATTATTAGTTCTATAATTTTAACAATAAAAGGCCCCTTTTAAAATTATTTACTATAATATTCCATCAGAACTATTCATACCTGTTGTCTTATTTTATTCTTTTACCATCACATACTTCTCGATTTGATAATTATTGAATGCCTATTTAATCTTTTTAATTCCGATTTTATATTTAAATTAATAACCAAGTCAGAATAATTTACCCGGAACATACCTGCAGTTTTTTGATAACAAATGAATGTCATATTTTTATCTTTGATTCAAATTCAATTTTGTAACAATAAACCAACCTCAAATATTTTACCCAAATTATTTGTATCTACAAAATTTATAATGAATAAATATCTTATTTTCATTCAATTCTATTTAATAACGAGTCTAAATGTTCTATTTAGATTAAATAATAAATAAAGTTTTTTAATTCCCAATTTTAATAATCAAACTAAATACGTAATGACACAAAATCATAACTCTAGCAACAGTTTAATTTTCTCCGGTTTGGGAGCCATAAATTCAACTAATTCAGATGCTTCTGAATTTAACACTAATAGTAAACATAAAATCCTGGGTGTAGAGTGCGGTGTTTCTGAAGAAGTAAAAAGGGCCTATAAAGAGCTGACATCCGGATAAAGCAAAAGGAGTAACCCTACTCAAAGGTTCCAAATCATTAAAAAGGCTTATGACAAATTTAAAATAGACTTTATGCTGATTCATTGACGTAGAGAAAACCTTCTTAACTCCAATTCTATTTCCATAACAGTAATTAAAGCCGATAGACCTATACTCGTAACAGTAATTACAATTTATAAGTCATGATTTTTACTAAAGATATATTCCAGTATTAGTTCGTAAATAAAAAATATTGTTTGATATAAAATCAAAATTTAATAATATTAAATCCCAAACAAATATTATTTAAGACGAAGTTTTTTTGTTTTATGGGGTTTAGGAAGATCATTATAGGTATAAAAAAGTATTCTACTTTCATAATCTATAATTTCTTGAATTGCTGGTTTTCTTTTAGACAAATGACCTCCATTTTTTAGAGTTTTTCTAAAAAAACATGAACCTTGATCATAATTTTTTTTCTCAACGGCCTCACATGAAAATGCTTTAAGCCCCCATTCTTGATGCCTTTCAAGCAATTCCCAACCATGATAAACTACTGTATGTATATACGGAGTAATCTGACTAGGTAAATATAGCCCTTGTTTAAATTACTGTTGATTAATCGGATCGCCTTGAGAAGGTGTTAGATATAAAGTTAACCATGTTTGTGCTTGTTGTTTAAAATTTTGAGGATTGGTATTTTTATCACATAAATTAACATATAAATAATAAAAATCATCCCAGAGTTTTCGAATAAGAGTTGCTTGAGATGGTCGAAACAATAAAACTAAAAATTATTATGCATATCAGTATACAGTAGTATGTATAATATATATAATTATATACGTAATACAAATTATAAACTTAGTGCTATATCAATATAAATATATACATGCCTGTCGTAAAACTTTCATTTTGTCATTGCCACAAAGTGAAGTAGAGTTCCTCTAACTTCCCAAAAATTAAATGAAATATTTAATCTATGCATTTCATCTTTGATTATTTTCCGTACTGAATCATTAAATAGTCCTCTTTCTTCAACTTCTGCTAGCATTAGTGACCATAATTGATCTGTTATACGCAAAAATGCATGAAGTATATTGAATATAACATTTTCAATTGCTATCATATCAAAAATTGGTGGATTTGTATGACCATGAAAGCTCTTATAATCTTTAGCAATTTTTTCCATATCTTTGCTAATACGCCAATCTTGACTTAAATCTGAATGTTGTTCTTTTGCACATTCACACCACAAACAGAAATATCGAGAATTTGCACAATTAATTCCAAGATTAATTGCTAAAAATTTCCAGTCTGCACTAAAGTATAATTTAAAACTCCAATGTGTTCCCATAATATCTAATCCATTATTTTTTAAAAATCGTAAATCATCCAAAAAAGGTTTTAAAATAAAACTTAAAATGTCATACTTTTCAGCTCCAGGGTAAAGAACTGTCGTGTAATGATGATTATTAATATCATTTAAAATCATGAAAGTTATCATTACATGTTTTATTTTAGATCTTGTATTTCTTCCATCTCCAGAGACACGAAGATGAATAGTTGGATTAGAACTATGAAGAATACCTTTTTTTTTAATTGAGGAATAAGGTAAATTAAAATATCTTTTGCACTTCTTTGAATTCCTATTTCTGAAATCTTAACTGTATCCAAATCTATTTCAGAATAGTTTAAAATTCTATGACTATTAAGATCTATATATGTAGTTTTAATTGCCTGATCCATAATTGTAGTGATCTCATTTTTCTTATTTGATATTACCCATTCTCGTGGTAGATTTGGTTCATCTATAGTTAAGTTACGATAGGAATCACGTGAAATCTTATTTTGATCTATAGTTTGAACTAATGACTGAATTTTTTGATTTTCTTGTATAGGGTTAAAATCAATATGATAATTATATTTATCAACTGAAAAATCTACACTTTTTAAATTTACTTTATCTTCAATATAATATTTCGATCTAGCCTCATTGTTAAAACTTGATTGTAATAAAGTTCCCATTTTTCGTGCTCGGTTCATTAAAGTCTTATCAGAACATTGTATTGCTGGTTTAATTGTATGTAATCTTTTTTCAGTTTTACGTATTTTATTTAGAGTTTCTAGCTGTAATCCAAATACAAGAGGACCTTATATAGTAGCTTTAGAATTTGGATCACATGCCTATATATTATATATTATATAAAATAAATTAATTAAAGAAAACAAAAACCTTAAACTATAAATAATATAAATTATATATACTTGTAAATAAATAAGCACTGCTTTTGATGCAGATAATGTTGAGGTTATTGTTTCTGTAAACTCATCACCATAATCAATTATAAATTCAGGTTTTTTATCTTTATATTTAATAGAGCAACTTATTTTTACCACGTCCCCAGGTAGTTATTGCGATATAATTATCAGGAATCTTTTTAGCCAATTTTTTGTTTGGTGAACCAGTTGTTACTAAAATATTATGAGATGGATAAACTCCTTCTTCGATAATATAAGTAAAACTTCTTATTGTTTTATTATTTTTTCGCTCTTTATATATAATAATATTATTTAAAGGATATGTTGAAATTTCTTCAATTTCAATACCATTTTGTAAGTTTATATATTTAATTGTATTACTATCGCTATTGTTGCTTTGTAACATTTTTGTAATTGTGGAACTGATACCAATATACGTAAGTAAACAAATACACAAATATTTTGTTTATACGTATATTTAATAAAGGTAGATCTGTAGATGTTTATTTAACTATATTCAAATTTATTGTACAGTACGTATAAAAAATAAAATTTTTTTAGACATATTTTTTGGGTTAGAAATTAAGATTAGAGGTCAGTTTTAAAATTTATTTTAAACAAGTAGATGGGTTTTAGAGAGTTAAGTAAAAACCCACAATTTTATTTTAATCCAAAATAGTAGATCCGCCGGGTAGTATACCCAGGTCTATAATATAGGGTAAAATGTATAAGACCCAGATATATTAAAAAACCCGGATCTATAGAAAAGAAATATTAAAAAATCTAAACCTCAATTTTCGTCAAATCTATTTTTAGTACAAAGAGATTTTGATTGTCCGAAATCATCGAGTTTTATTCGATTTTGCTAACTTATATTACATAGCTAGGAGACTTACAACGCCAACCTAGTTTTCATTCCGGAAATATAGTTAATTCAAGTTCTAAAGCACTTTTTGGTGTGCTTCCCTATATTGCTCCAGAGGTATTATGTGCACATGGAAAGGAATACACTCAAAAATCAGATATTTATTCTTTTGAAATATATTATATTGGAAGTTTTTACTGAATATCCATAATATTCCACATGACAAAGATCTACCAACACGTATTTGTCTGGGTTACAAATCTAAAAACTTTTGGATCTTAATAAGTGCTTAGACGCAGATCCTCAAAACTGACCAACTGCTAATAAATTAGATTAGCCGATACCGATACTGGTGTTTGGCAAAATCAAATAAAACTCGATTTTTGAGTTTTACCCAATTTTGCTGAGCACTAGTCATGAATAATTCCAAATAGAGCAATTGATTAAATAGTTCTTATCTAAAAGCATGTGACCTAGGCCTATTCCAAAATTTGCATAAATTCGGGAATTAGCAGGCGTGTCCCCACTTAGCCAGCTTTTGATCTGTTGAATCATTAAAATATGAGCACAATTCAATGAGAATAGATCTTGCCAAAGAAATTTTACAATTAGAATGAATAAAGGCTTCGTTCGAGCGAAAATGGATCGTTCCAAAGAATAGAAAATGAAATTTACTACTTACAAGTATGTATATTGATATTTTAGTCTTATTGTAATATATATATTAGTCATCTGATCTTATTAAATTACGTACCTGATATATCTGTTACTGAATTTTATTCCTGAAATCTATAACTTAACCGAATCGGCCAAAAAACCATTCAGCAAATTTTTACAGGTATCCTGGGAATTATGAAAATAGCTATAATAAAGTTTAATATCTTCCAAATAAATGTCACATGCGTGCATGATTTTTGTATCAATATATAACCAGACCCAGATCTTGTATGTGGCACTTTAGAGTAGTTGCAACTATTAATTATTCGATCGATTAGCAATTAATTCAGAAAATATATCGATATTTAATATACGTACGTACGTACGTACGTAGTTAATCATATCTGTTAATTTAGGAAATTGGATCTACCTAAATTATTTGTATTACATTACACATCCCCAAATTTTCAATTTAAAAAATACGCGTCAGTCATCAAACTTATTGTAAATCTCAAAACTCGAGATGGCAACTGGTAAGTATTAAAAAAATAATTTTTTTCAAATTTATAATAAAAAAATAAAAAATAAAAAATAAACTATAATTTTTTTATTTAGCGGACCCAACTTTGGTAATTTGTTCTATTTGTGATAAAGAATTCAAATCTAAAAGAGGACTTTCTTATCACAATACAATGGTCAAAAAATTTAACACACGTCAATCTAATATCGATAAATTACCAAAAGGAATTATAACTGAATTTAAAAACATAATTGTATCTCTTATTCATTGCAATTTACCATTAAATTTCAAATCAATGGGAAAACAAACATTGTCTATTTCTTGTCCAGAAAGTCTTTTTTATGCAATATTTTCAGGACATATTCATCATTATTCAAAACGTACAGGAGCTTATAAATGTAAATTTCATGGAACATCAGCATATCAAACTTTAGCAAAGATTTTGAATTCTGAAAAATGGGGCCGTAAAGTTTATTCTCAAAATCAGCAAACATATGTTGTATGTCAAGATCCAATTTCATGTGAGAATAAAGATGATTTAGATCCACTATTATTACTTAATACAAATCTACTATCTAGTAAGTCTAGAAAATCTCGAATTCTTCGTGGAGAGGTTCTTGTTGAATGGAAAAAAATAAAGTCTGTAGAAAAAGATGGAAATACCTGGTTTACAGGTTTTATATATATTGGTTTTTTTATTTCACAAACACGAGTACTTTCTTAATGTATAAAAATCGAAGTTTGTTTTTTTCAATAATATAATGATTTTATTTACATATAAAATTAGTACAAGTCACTCACTATAATGAGATGATCGGTTTATAAAAAATTTTTATTCAACTTTCTGTTTGTGAAGTTCGTTTATCATCTATTAATGAACAAAGATTTTAGATCAAGTGAGTTCATTATCGTGATGAAAATTAACCATAAAGATTATTAAGCGTGGTACTTGTGCACGATCTCTATAACTAGCCAATCACACATTGAAAGAGGCAGCACGCTCGATGTGACCATTATGCATTATTAATTAGACCACTTTGAGAACTGATAGTATAGATGTTGAAGACCGATAACATGGATGATAATATGATTGAAATATGTAATCGCCGGTATCACATGATAGTATTCGTTCGATCATATTAAAATGATAAATTAAATCGTAATTATTACATATACTTTTAAGGCATTTTTATTGAAACATTTATTTAACATTTTTAGACAATTCTACATATCATTTACATAATTTGTAAACTTTGTGTTGCTCAGCAACACCTACAAAGTGAGCGAAGCGAACTCTGTAGTCGCTTACTACAGCTGTTGCCTCCGCTCTGCTCCTTTCCCTAAACATCTAATAAAATCTAAACCAACCTTAATTTTAACTCTAACCCTAAAGTTTAAATCTCAACGAAAACATCATGAAATCCTAACGTACGGAATATCGAACAAAATAATAAACTAAGCACCAAACATTACACAAAAAATTTGACTCCAACAACGAAATAACGAATGTATCCAACAATGCACCAAAAAGCGACTTACCATAAACCTGATGACAATGAACGCAAAAAGATTCAAAGCTCCAAGTAACATACTAGTGACGAAGGAAACTCTAAACTTGAATACATCAACGACAACAAAAGCCTAGATAATACGAACAAAATAATAAATACACTACGTGAAAAAACTGACTCAAACGACGAAATGACGAATGTATCCAGTAATGCACCAAAAAAGCAGCCTATCATAAACCTGAAAAGAATTAGTACTGGACGAACACACAAAAAAAAAAAAAGCGAATACTTAGCTGTATAATTGAGATTCAAAGCTCCAAGTAACACACTAGCAACAAAAGAGACTCTAAACTTGAATATGCCAGCAACAACAAAAGCGAACAAAATAATAATACACTACACAAAAAAAAACTAGACGAAACAACAAATGTATATCAAAAAAACGACCTATCATAAACCTGAAAAGAATCAGTACTGGATGAATACAAAAAATGAAAGCAAATAAAAAGAAGTGAATACTTAGCCGTACAATTAAGAAATTCAAAGCCCAAGCAAAGAAAGAGACTCTAAACTTGAATACGCCAATGACAACAAAAGCTTAGGTACTTAGGTAACACGTCATTAACGAAAGAGCACCAAAATGGATAGCACCAACGAAAGAAACTCCAAGATAGATACGCAAACGACAAAAAAACTTATACCGAAGTGGATGATATCGACGAAAGAAGGAGTACTGATCTGAAAAAAATAAAATTATTAAGCATAAAAATCTAAAAAAAAAAAATCTGCGATCACCACCAGTATAATTTACTTACTTATATTATAGCAATGATCACCGACGGTTAAAAAATTTTAAATTCAAATGCTTCATTATTTTTAGCGTCGTATTCTCAAGCAACTCCCTCAATGTGTTTTGAGATAATGCTCAATCATTACAATTAATCGAAATAATGGTTGCGATTAGGGGTTGGACCCGGGTAAAAATCGTTGATATATGATCATAATAAATTACCCGGGTAACCCGGGTAATTTAATAATACCCAGGTAGGGATTTTCTCAATGGGTCCAACCTCTAGTTGCAATTATTGCTTAAGAAGCAAAAAAAAGACAACTATTCCCTAAATCTCACTTTAAAACAAAATAATGCTATTAGACTGATATAGATAAATAATATACTTAAGCCCGTAAACTTATCGTTGATTCATATTTGCTGATTCCATATGCTGTATTATTTAAATGCTTTCTCTTTATTCTTCTCGACTCTAATAGATTCTTAATAATAATTTTTAATATTCTATAATTCAATCGTGTCGCCTATTTTTGATAACAATTATATGTTCCAAGAGCACTACCCCAAAGCGATTAAATTAATACAAATAAAATAAATAAATTGATGATTATTATACTTACTACAATACAGCAATAAGTAAACATGTATCTCTAAATTTTTCTTCTAACCTGACTAGTGGTGTTGCCGCATTGAGGTAATTAATTACGACCGATTGTAGTGAAGTTGCAACTTTTCGGTAGTATTG